CCCCGGTGATCCTAGACTTGGGGAAATGGTCGAATGAATCCACGTTTATCACTGATCGCATGCCACTCCGGTCCGGTCCGTCACCTCGGTGAGGCAGTTAAGAATCAGGCGCAAATTGAGTTGTCCTGCGGGAGGTCCTTACAGACTGCAAACAGCGACCGCGGAGGCTTGTGGGTCTTTCTCGTGTTACCTTTGGGGCAGCATGGGTGAGTGGGAGGGGGCGCGTCTTCACTATGGGCACAATGGGTGCGAGTTGGGTCTCGTGCAGCGGAGAGCTGTCCCACGTGTCTGTGATAGCTTGGCAAGGGTGGGCGAGGTGGCGGGGGCTTGGGATCGGAGAAAGGACAAAGATTCCTTCTCCAGCTGTTTCTTCGCATAAACGGCTCCGTGTGATTTTAGAAGATATCAGGGAGAAGCTCTAGATTTATCTGCTGTTGCCTGATCTATGACCGTAACAGAGAAAGGTTAAACTGACGAACGGCCGTCCAGCGACACATTTTGTTCGTCTTTAAGGTGTGGTTGGACTCCTGTTTTATTACACCACAGAGATACTGCTCTGTTGGCTGATTGTGTTCCAGGGTGGTTGTGGTTAAGTAGCAGAGCACAGAAAGTGATGCTGCATCTAAAGTATGAAGGGGTACATTTCATCACCTTAGCCGCCTGCTTCTTCACTGTTCCTGATTTTGTCAGTTTTGTCTCTCCGTTTGCCCTCTAGGTAAGTGCCGTGGGCTTCGTACCGCCAGGAAGCTGCGCAGTCACCGACGAGACCAGAAGTGGCATGACAAGCAGTACAAGAAGGCCCACCTGGGCACTGCTCTGAAGGCCAACCCCTTTGGGGGAGCTTCCCATGCCAAAGGAATTGTCCTGGAAAAAGTGTGAGTGACGCTTGGGCTGTGAATTCTTTCTTTTTGCCCCCCGTAGAAAGGGCCTCAGGACATCTTAGTACAGTATACTTCTGCCATGTTATTTTTATTATATGTTTATCTTGCTCCTCATCCACCTAGCTTAGTGCATGTGCTTCTATTTCCAAGCCTCTGTAAAATCAGGTCCTTCTAATCCTTTTGATATCATTGGGCTCTTCTGCATTCTCATTTTTGTCACTCATTTGTCCCTATTGCTTTCCCCCCCTTTCCTCATGTGTTTTGCTCCCTCTGGGACTACTAGAGAGAGCAAAATACATTGTGGGGGGGAACCCTGAAGCAATAGGAACAGATTTGGGGAGTAGCTACCCAATCCTAAACTAGTGCAAGCCTAGCTTCCCTCCAGCTGCTTGAGGTGAGCCCATCTCAGTCTCTCAAGTTTTGCTTCGTAAACAGATCAGTCCTTCTCATCATGTTATTCCTGCCCATAGTAGAGACCCTGTCATCTTACATCCCTGTCTGAAACACTTTTTCAATGGAAGTAAGCCCCCTTTGTTCCTATGAAATGAATTCCCAGGTGTGATATTATCTCTACATGGTCTTGGGATGAAACTCCGATTTCCACAAATGGAAGAGAAGTTGTGCCCAGTGCTGCCATAGAGACAACCCAGCAAAAGTTAGGCACTTTTAAATTGTATTTATTATTGTATTTCTACCCCGCCCTCCCAGCGAACGGGCTCAGGGTGGCTTACAAAGGGCACCATGTGCCTACATATAAAAACAAGACAATCAATTTAACAAAATAAAGTGCTTACTAGTTTCAATCTCTCACTATAACAAGATGGTTTCTCAGAAATGTTATAAAACAACGATACTCCTTCACAATTAGGATAATGTCCCCTAGATGTTACTCATCCCCATCCAACGGCTGTCATGGTTTGATGTTCATAGGGCCGTCCTCTTACCCCATTGGTACCAATATCATTGGTGGTGGTGGTAGTGGTGGCTCGGCTCCTACTCAAAAGCCTGGCAGAAGAGCTCCATCTTGCAGGCCCTGCAGAACTGCGAAAGGTCCTGCAGGGCCCTGATCTCTTCTGGGAGCTCGTTCC